GACAGCTTTCTTTTCACCAGTATTGTTAAAAGCACATACAAAAACCCAAAGGCAGCCCAAACGTCTGGCCCAAATGTTGTTTTAAAGGGGAATTTTCCTGATTTGTCATATATTTTCTGCACAATTAAATGTAAATAGAGTCATTCAGAGTGGTTTGGTGTGAAATGCTCCTTCCTACAGAGTTCACAGTGGCGGTGAATGGAACCAGACGTCTGAAGTTATTATATGAAATGCTTACGAATGCACGGCCCGTTGCCTGAGACATTGTTTAATGGTAGTTTTAAGGAGGTTTTGGTCTAAAATCCATTCACCATACAGAGGTACACGCAGGGCGTTATAGGGTAAAATACATATCCAGTATTTGTCATGTTCATTTCTGCCAATGCCGATGTTTAATTTATGAAATGGAAACATCCACTTGGGTTAGCATTGTGGAGAAATGCAATGTTCATTTGTACAAATGCAGAAATGCAGCATCATCTCTTCCAGAGTACAACAAATACATCAGCAAATATCGGTTTAAAATGTTGGCCAAAGCTAAACATCTGTCCAAAGCTGGCTTTGGTTTCTAAGCAGATAAGATCCGCTGTAAAGGTACGTTTGCTAAGTTTCACTACTTCACACCTCTATGAATGACAATGTTTACATTTCAATAAGTAAAATTTTGAAAAACATTATTGGGAATCCTCCTTTAGCATTTCTCTCAAAACAATGTAATGATGAGACTATATTGGAAAATTATTGCTTTTACAGATGAATTAGCCTGAAAATATTGACCTGCATTCCGTTTTCATATTTTCATTGGCGTGGAGCACTAAGAAGTCGTCTTGTTTTGGATAAATATTGCTCTGAATCATGAGTGTACTGAGTTCCTCTTCCTACACACACACACACACACACACACACACACACACACACCTCTCCCAACCCTGTGACTCACTCGAGTTCATGCAGTACGGAGTTCACCACCTTCATTACTCAACTACAGCTGCAAACATGCTAGCAGGCTAACAAATAAAACCACTGAATGCCACAGGCCACAGATTCTACCCTCTCATACTGACATCGGCACTCAAACCTCTTAGGGGAATTCCACCCATTTTCCAAAATTTCTGTATGATTCAGTGTTTAGGATGTAAACAGAGTCATTCAGAGTGGTTTGGTGTGAAATGGTTCAGATCTCTTCACAGTGGTGGTGATAGGAACCAGGGGTCGCCATGACTACAACACAAATATAGACATTTCTTTTACCATCCAAAACCACCAGTGAACCTACACGAGTCTTCTGAGCTGTTTATGAAATGTTGATGATGTTAAAATAGTGATAAATTTTTTAAAAATAAGTTTTCTTTGGGGACTATTTGGCCTCACAACTCCCTGCATGTACCCCTCCACCATGAATGGAATTAAAGAATAAATTATCCTTAAACAATACAAATGTTGGACACTTTTGGGCCAAAGGACTTTCAAGATTGCAAAACAGTGCTTTTAAACAATAGTTTGGAAAAGTGTCAGGTCAGATCAGCATCGTTTACCAGGAAGACACTTACATGAACGTGATCTGGAATCAAACATTTCACACCAAAACACTCTGAGCGACTTTGTCTTTACTATTAAACTACATAGATGTTTGAGAGATCAGAGGAAGCCCTCTTTATACAATCAAAACATGACACATATCCACCCAAACACGACTTAATTCAAATATAATAGGAAGAATCAGACATCTATAGATTATAACTATAGATCATATATTCACTTCAACACTCACATATTCACACTATAAGCTCTTTACACACACACACACACACACACACACACACACACACACACACAGACACACACACACAGAAAAGAGGCCTGTCGGCTCGTTTTGGTCTCACACATGCACTGTCATAAATGAAAGTGTAGAGGTCATGACCCCAGATTACAGCGCTGGGGTTTACACCACAGAACTAATCAAAACCAGATGGCACAAAAACAATGACCCTCTACACACACACACACACACACACACACACACAGACACACACACACACCTATATATATATATATATATATATATATATATATATATATATATCTCAGAAATATTTATTAAGTAAGTAAAAATGTTTTCCACTAATCTAAAACTCAAAAACTCATTATATCCTCTGTATATCTATCTATCTATATATATATATATATATATATATATATATATATATATATATATATATATATATATATACACACAACCATCCATTTCACTAAAACTACCTCTGGATCATTCTCAGCACTGCAGTAACACTGACGTGGTGGTGGTGTGTTAGTGTGTGTTGTGCTGGTATGAGTGGATCAGACACAGCAGTGCTGCTGGAGTTCTTAAACACTGTGTCCACTCACTGTCCACTTAGACACTCCTACTTTGTCAGTCCACCTTGTAGATGTAAAGTCAGAGACGATAGCTCATCTGCTGCTGCACAGTTTGTGTCGGTCATCCTCTAGTCCTTCATCAGTGGTCACAGGACGCTGCCCACAGGACGCTGTTGGCTGGATATTTTTGGTTGGTGGACTATTCTCAGTCCAGCAGTGACACTGAGGTGTTTAAAAACTCCAGCAGCTCTGCTGTGTCTGATCCACTCAGACCAGCGCAACACACACTAACACCACCACCACCACGACAGTGTTACTGCAGTGCTGAGAACGATCCACCATCCAAATAGTACCTGATCTTTGAGGGTCCATGGGGGTCCTGACCACTGAATAACAGGGTAACAAAGTATGCAGAGAAACAGATGGACTACAGTCTGTAACTGTAGAACTACAACGTGCACCTATATAGTAAGTGGAGCTGATAAAATGGACAATGAGTGTAGAAACAAGGAGGTGGTTTTAATGGTTTATATATAAATATATATAGCAATTTCCCTTGAGGAAAGCAAGTGCCACGTTAACCCCTTAAATTCCAATTCATATTACTTCCTAAGGTTAATTACATAGAAAACAATGCAAACTGACTGAGTTATTCTTAAGTAAAAGGAGTGAAAAATGGGCATCTGGACCCTCCATTGGATTCTGGGCATTTAAGGGGTTAAATTAAGCCAAGAGCCAAGAGTTACCAAGTTTATAGGACAGAGAGAGAGAGAGAGAGAGAGAGAGAGAGAGAGAGAGATAGAGATATAAACAAACAGCTATAAAGAGTTAAACTTTGCTCTGCCATGGAAACACTGTACTTAATACAGCCATAACAATAAAGCCATCACGGACTGCCAACTCTATAAGATAGAAGCAAAAAGGCAACGAAACAAAAGAAAGAGAGAGAGAGAAAGAGGAAAGAAAGAGAGAGCAAGAGGGGGAGAAAGAAAAACACATGGCAGCTGACAGCATGTGAGGTTAGAAAGACGAAAAGAAGAAAAGATCTTGGTTTAATCATTTGACTACATACAAACTAGCATCGAGCAGAAAGAAAGGGTGGAAAAAAAAAGGGAAAAAAAGAAATGGCACCTTTTCTTTTTTTCTGGAGTACGGTGGAGTCTTCAGTTTGCTCCCGGAGGAGCCCATCTTCTCTCTCTCTCTCTCTCTCCCTCTCTCTCTCTCTCTGTCAGACCACCCCTCCCTGCCCCCTCATTCACTCTGAGAAAACTGAAAACTGGTCTATCTGTTCAAGAGCTAAAGTGATCACACCCCCCCATTAACCCCCACCCTCACAGAGAAACAGTACCGTCCTCCTCCTAAAGGAGGAGAACAGGAAAAACAGACAGAGAGAGAGAGAGAGAGAGAGAGAGAGAGAGAGTATATGTATACATGTAGAGACAGAGGAACAAGAGTGTGAAAAACAGAAAAAGTGAGAAAGACAGTGAGAACGAAAGCAAGAGAGAGAAAGAGTGTGAAAGTGAGAGAGCCAAATGGGGAGTGAGAGAAAGAGACTCGGCAAATGGGTTAGAAAAACAAAAAAGTGAGAGAGAGAGAGAGAGAGGGGTAAGTCAGACATCAGTCTCAATTTGAAGGCCTTGTTTCTATGAACTACTTTACATAAAATATTATACAACAAACCAATCTAAGCCCATAATTTATATCAGTTTGTATCAGTTTATATCACAATACCTACATTTAGAGTCGGTTATTCATTCAACCTAATGGGAAACTGTAGAACAGACTGAGTTTATATCACAATACCTACATTTAGAGTCAGTTATTCATTCAACCTAATGAGAAACTGTAGAACAGACTCAGTTTATAGAACAATACCTACATTTAGAGTCGGTTATTCATTCAGCCTAATGAGAAACTGTAGAACAGA